ATCATGCATTTATATGGACTACACGTCATAAAGTCAAAATGTCCCAATCTCAGCTTACTGAGTTTCTATGCTTAGCATATATCCTCAGCTATCTGGTATTGACTGTAAAACATCAGTAAATGGTTGAACTATCTGGTGAAAATGGACTCGTGCGCAAACCCATTTCGATGTTTTGACGTCAACACGCACAATTTTGATGGCCACAAAACTTTGATATCCGAATGAATATAAGATTGTTTTTATCATTTATTGAATTATTCAAAATGTATTCATCATCAGCAAAGCAACCGGAATCGAATGGAAATTTGGCATAAACGGCGATAACCGATGTGTTGGAAATCAATGTGTTTTCTAAGAAAATTTTTGGCGTCAATTACTTCGCTGCGCTTTACGTGCCAAACGTATGTGAATTGAAAATCATGCGGTAAATGACTTCGGGCCAATGTTTTTTTTTCCACCACATCACACAAGTTCCTGGAAAATTTATCTTTTCAATTAATTGAGATTGGCATTAAACTTCCAACTGGCTTTGTAATAACTTGGCGTACATTTGTTTCATTTTTGTTCTTTGTCAATCAGCAACGCTTGACGTGAACCGCGTATCTGAGTGTATGTGAAAATTAACACGCCACATAAACTTGATGGCGGTAATTTAACGACACCGCAGCATACATGAGTCCGAGAGAGAAAGAAAGAAAGAGAGAGAGAGAGAGAGAGAGAGAGAGAGAGAGAGAAAGGGAGAGAGAAAGGGAGCTTAATGGTGTTATGAAATGGTCGCTAATATAATAGAATCAATGAAGCATTTTGCGTTTATGCCAATGCAATCGAATCTCAATCGAGGATTGATAGCTTTTTCGCACAAACCAACAAACCAACCCCACCCTCTCGCCGACTAAAATACCTACATACAACAGCTACTTATTTTGACAGTATGGTGAAATATACACTAAGTTGAGGGCAAGTGCTTTCGTACCGTTTCTCCATTATTTTCACGTTTTTTCCGTCAATTTCCATTAAATAATGGACTCGCATTTATTTCGTAAGACACATGAATTACGATACGATAATAAATCGCCATCTAAATGTATGAAACAATTATCAAGATATTGCGATGCCATTCATCACATCGTTACGGAATAAGTTTATGCGTGTGTGCGTTGTGTGCGTAATAATAAATGCGTGCATATACAGAAAATTCCCGAAATAAAATGACAACTAAGCTGTTTACGCTGATGAACGTTCTGGAGATAAAATGCGAAATAGAAGCAGATTGAGAGAGAAGGTCGCATGGAATGTCATGCAGTTGCAAAGACGGAAGTGATGTAGTGGAGATGGAGTATAATGATTTCGACCAGAAACAGAAATTCAACAGTTTATTATTACAATATGGGTAAATAGCGTCATTGAAGCTTATGTTGAATGCGAATCGTGTGTCAGCTCTCCACAGAAGCTTTTTATACCCAGCTTCGTACCGCATAGCGAAAGACATAACAGAGAGAAAGACACAACGAAGAATTCTGCCTTCTTCTTGGGCACAGCATGTATTCGTTCGTTCGTTCGTGTTATTCTTTCACTCAAACTTATTTCAACTGAGTAAATAAACTAAACTACAGCCAGCGGAATGGAATACCATGTGGCTGCATGATAAGATGGTAAAAATAATTCACTTCGTCCGCCATTCTTGGATATAAATATTTTGTCTTGTGGAAATCTTTTGTGATTGTCCTGTTTTGTTCATCATAAACTACAGAGTTTCAACATAAACGTTACAACAAAAACAACAACGCCACCAACAAAACATTCTATTTTCATGCGATATCGATGAGAGATTGGTTGCCTCTGGTTGTGTTTAAACTGTTTTTATGTGCAAAATATACACGTGACCATTTTTATAAGAGCGACAACCAATAAAACAATGAACGCATTACTTTGCAGCACAGACGAAAATACCTGGAAGCAATCTTCTAGAATTCAATTATTCGGTTATGCAAATGCCTTTGCCGAAAGTGTGCGTACGCCTCAAATTTACCCAACATCGAATCAATAAAAATGCGTTTGTTGAATAGTTACCAACGTATGTATATAACATATGCGTATGGATTGAGTGAAAATACCGATGCGGAGTATTGTAGTGTTCAAATCTGGAATTTGTGATGCAGGCATTGAATAGCTGATCAAAACCAGATATTTCCGTTTGCAATAGTTGAAAACGGCTGCTTCGACTGTTTCAACCAAATAGTGTTGACTCAAAACCATATTCTGGGCTTGTCTATTGGAGCAACTGTCATACACAGTCACCATAACTTCCGAGTCTAACCAATAAGATAAATGTAGAGAGGCAGAGACACTTGAATTATATATCCCGTGAAGAGCAAACATTCTCGTTATATCGACTAAACCATTGGGTTTCAATTTAAATTCGTCAGGTTTTACTACTTTCAACCGCTTTTATGAGCATAACATAATTTTTGTCCGTTTGATGCGGCACTATTGTCGCAGCACGTGATTCCTTTATATAAACATTGACATTTCGGTTTGAAACTTGTAATACCATAACAACTCCATTCCGCAACGGGAACATTTCATGGGTCTAAAAATCTTTTGAAATATTTATTTCAATTTTTTGCGAGTTGTTCGATCAACGAAATATATCAACAGCATTTCGATGAAAGCGGATTTGAAGGGATTACGTTTAATAACAATCTATTACAACTCTCAAGTAGAATATCAATTAAGAGCACTTGAGTTTGTCTTAGATGTGATAGCTCCGCGTCAATCGACCGAATGCTGAGCAACACGAAATTGGGAAAATAGTTTGTTCCATCCACTTGGCTCGTTAATGATTCGTATAACATGTCCCTAATTAAATGGAATAGATCCAGAGCTGTGATTAATGTTGTTTATATGCGCTCATCCAAAGCACATGGAACACAAGGCTGAAGTGTAATTGTTTTCAATGTTACATTCTCAGCTCGGTATACATTCAAAAAGTTTAACCCTTTGGATGAAGTTAAATTTGAAATCCGTGATTATAATTTGGAACTGAACAATTACGACTCAATTTGGTTGGAATTGCATGTGAGCCGGTGTTTGTGTGGGTTTTATGTCAGCTTAGCACACTTGACCTTAGTACTTTCATGTGCTTGATTGTGGCTGAGGAGGAAATAATGATGTTGTTAGTAATCATGCTTAATTAAATCCACCTATTTAATTTTGGTTCTCGTCGTTTTTTTTTTCATTCTCTTTCTCTCTCCCTGTGGGATATGCATCCTTTGCAATTCAAATATGTATTCGGTGGCCGCATTCATCCCCTTATTATTACATACTTTTTCTCCGGTGTTTTTTTTTTGTTATGTGTGTGAGTTGAAATGGCTTTGTACCTACAGAAAAAAAAATGGAAAATTTGAAGCAAAAGAAACTGCATTGCAACATCGACTGTGAGTGATTTTTTGTTGTATACCTGTTTTTCTTCTCTTCAATTCATAATGACTTTAATTTCTTTTCTTACTCAAATGAATTTCGCATTAAACCTGTGCATTGAATATGCTTGTAGCAAATTTCTCATTAGAAGCCAAACGAGAATAAAAACATATAGAAAAGCATTTATTTCATTAATTCCAATTTGGCGGGAGAGAATTAAAAAAACAATACACAACCAAACCTGCTGTTGAATATTACCATGCGGTGGTCTGAGATTCGGTGCCCGTTTTGCAATAATCCTCTGCTGTTGTCGACACAATTCGTTTGTGTGCGCGACCGCAGTTTCAAAGTATTTAATCCTTGTAAAAACGTTTTACTTATTGGTTTTAATAATAATTTTTTGTATTTTCATTTCATCCGAAAATACGAGGGTGTGACATCAAAAAGCGTGTCATGCACAGAAAACCAGTAGCCAGTAATTGTTTCCATTTTGCTTGTGACAGGCAACAAACATACAATTTCCCAATCACTTTCACTGGCGAAAAGAAAGTGGGATGATCAGAACGCAAACGAGCGTGCAAGCAAGCAAACTGCTGTGTACTGCTAACCGGTGGACTAACAAGTGGGGTCAATATAACCCTAAAACTGAAAAAAATTACATTTCTACATATCCAGCTCAGTTTGAACTGATTTGCATGGATTTCGGTTGTACCCTGCGTTTTGAGAGAATAAGCAAAATTGGAAACGAAAAGAAAATAAACGGAAAAATATTTCTTTTGTTTCTTTCTTAATATGCACTAAATAAAGTTGCAATCAGCACAATTTTCTAGTGTTTTTCATTTGCAAAAATATATAATATCCACGAAAATTATATGAAGAATTAAAAAAAAACTTGGGGCCAAGGACTTGGGGTTTATGGACGAAAATAGCTTGGTAGTCCAAAAATGTTAGTGAGCCAAGCTATGAACAAACCGAACTAATGCAAACGAAACGAACGCAAATAGCCGGAAAATTCATCGAAATATAGAGACAAATTAAACACGTTGAAATATTTTCCATACAGTTCAAATATCGACCAATGCCATGACCAATGCAATTAAGCAATCAATATTCGTTTGCGTCACACAGCTTGCATAGACTTTTGATCATTCCGCTTCACCCAGCACACGGCAGTGGTTGGGAGAGAGACGGAGAATTTCACCGAAAAATTGTTATTATTTTCTATTCATTTTCCATAAAATAGCAACTGAACGTCTGGAAGGGAACGAAGAGAAATGGACAAGTGTGAAAAAGCCATAAAATTGGTGCCATAAATCGAGCTTGGTAATCTATTTATTTGAAAATAAATTTCGAATTCCCGCACAAAAATCACTTATTAATTCCATGAAAGTGCAATATTTTTCTGCAGCGCAAAAGAAGTACCTTTTTTTACCTTTTTGATACAACACAATTTATTACGCATTTAATTACAGTATACACTATACAGTTGTCAATGTTCTTTTTCACTGTTCTCTCTCCCACAAAAAAATCTTCCATTTTAAAATAAGTTTATTATTATTTTTTGTTCCATTTTGTTGCAGATTTGTAGTGGTGTTGATGCGGTAAAACGTCAATCGCAAACAAAGGAATAAAGCGATCAAAACTAAGCGAGATAACAAAAATCAAAACGAAAACAAAAACGCGAAGCGCACGAAGCCAATTGATTGTAAATGTACATAAATTACAAGGCAATTTCATCACGGAGGGTCTCAAAAGTGCATTAGCCCGTCTAAGACATCGAACGGGCTCACCATCATCACCACCGTCGTCAACATCATCGCCAACTCCGAATACCTCATCCAAAGCTGCTGCTGCTGTAGCCGCCGTTCTTTCGTCTACATCATCCGACAGTCGAAACGTGAGTTTAAAAAAACACTAATTTTTTTCTTTTCTCTTACACACAACGATAGTGTATTAAGGTTTATACGTATGGTATATTCTGCGCGCCTCCTTCCAAATATCAACTTTAATATGTAAAAGTCTGTATACCACTTAATATAGGAGGGATTGCTCTTTAAAATGAAACCATACTGGATCATCTTTCACCAATGCTCATTCTCTCGTTATATGGAATAAATAGATTCCGCGCGCATTCAAACTGAATTAAAAACTTTTATTGCTTTCATCCCAATTCGAAATCCATTTTAACGGATTTTGAGTTGTCGAAGAAGAAAAACAAAACAACGCCGGCATAGGGAATCCAAAGCAACAACAACAAAAGAGTAATAGAATTGAAAAATGATGATCGCACACAATTTCATTCGAAATTCAGCCAGAGGAGAGATGAAGACATGTCAGATTAAAGTAAATTGAATGCCCGGCATGTTCGACTTTCGTGATGAACATTCTGATTTATCAGCAGCACTATGGTACTGAATTCATGCATAACACAACATTTTCACCGTTGTGTCATTTGTTATTGCAGGCATACTTGCCCTTCTCCACTCAATCATCCAGTCGGTGTGTTGGCAGCGAAATCACTCTCGGGATTTATTGTAAAAGTTGATCAAACATCAACCATGTTGCAATAATCCCGAACGTGTAAAACGGAACGAACAAAATGAATGGCATCCACTGAATACCCGCTCCCGAAAAATATGGCAGTAAAGTGAATGACACGAACTTTGTTTCCATTCTCTTAATCTTTTGTGTATGTATGTATGTGTATGTGTGTCGATTCTCAATGCTGTTGTTTCCTACGTCGCATTACATGAAAATTGTGCTGTTGTCTTCCACCGTTCACTCGCATCCCTTTCTATATGTACGTATGTCTCGGTGTCTGTGTGCTCAATGCTTCAGTTCATCCCCTTTGATCTGCTTGAATGATATGCAGATGCAGAACTGACCAATTCAAATTCGAGGAAGTGCAACGAAAATGCTAATTTAATGACAAAACTTTTCCAAATATGTTGACTCAAACTAATGAAAAAACGGAACTGGACTATGCCAATTTTGCATCCAAGTCAAAATTTTGTTTTCGATTACTTTCATGTGTACGTGTGTTGGGCTTTTTTTTTGCTACTGCTGTAGCTACTGTTTTATTGTTTGGATAGGTCGTCAAGTAAACTTTGAAAACAGTTAAATTTTGTTCATTGACACCATTGTTAAGGGGATTTGACTATTATTTTTCGTACTTACCGAGTACGTTGAGTAAACTGCAATGAAATTCGTGAAATTTTCATCTCATTTTCAATTCGAATCGCTGTGGCATTTGAAGTAATGCGCAACATAAATCTTAGCTTTCGTTGTTCATTATTCATTTTTAGCCCGGAATAAATGAGGCAAAGATACAATGAGATAACGACGACAACGATGATTTAAAATCAAATTAGATTGAGATAGAGAGACAGAGAGAGGGAGAAAGGACATTGAGTCGAGGGGATAAAAGGGCCAGTAGCAATTCATTTCAATTTACTGAAAATAAATCTAACAAGTTCAATTAAATTGAGACTCAATGGTTGTATTCGGAATCGAGTATGGGCCGACACGGCTTTGAATCGTATGACAGTCATCGTCGTCATCGTTGAGTGAGGTAAGTGCGACCAAGCCAGTCAGCCAACGAGCAAGCGAAAAGATAAGAGCGTCGAGCGAAGCAAACGCAGTAGCACAAGAGAAAAATGGGGACTGCGATAACAGATCCAAACCTGCCATTGTTATTCAGTAGTCAATCATCGAATACGGATGTGACACAAACAGCGGATTGAAATAATACTCTTGAATCCTCGGTTTTCGTTGCGTTTTTTATTTCATATGATTGAATGGGGCGCCTATTCACTTCTTTCCATTTATAGATGTATAATATACACTGTCTGTTTTGTCCTAATTCGATGCAGGTTTGGTTTTTCCCTCATGTTTTTTTGTCATTCAATTTTTATACATATTTCTGAGTGATCATAATTGATGTATTGTTCCGCATGGTTCCGACCAAAGTACCAGTGTATTCGAGTGAAAATATAAGTTTGGAGTTTGGAAATATATGCGAACAGCTCTTTGTGTGCATTAAACCACGCTTTTGCAAAACAATGCCTATATATATTGGATTGAAAACATCGAATCGACGCACTGTATACAATGTGAAATATAAATGAGCAAAGCATTTAAGATAAAATGATTTGCGCATGCATTGAAGTCAAACATTGCACGAGATTCGATTTAAATGGATATAATCAACCAATATTGACAATACCATTCGCCTCTTTTGTGTCGTGAATTCGATTATTATTTGTGATTGAAGACTGCGACGACGACGACGACGACGACGACGACAATGATGATGACGATTACGACGACAGCAACAGACATATGAGGCTGTGAGAATGAAAATGGCAATACAGGATTAAACATTCTGAAGCGCATCAAGAAAAAAAAAATCGCAAAAATGAATCATGAGTTCTGAATACGCAAAAGTGAACCATGAACCTCCTATGCTGCCCATGTAAATTCATGTTTCACTTTTGCATATTCAGAACTCATGATTCATTTTTGCGATTTTTTTTTCTTGATGCGTTTCAGAATGTTTATTCCTGTATTGTCATTTTCATTCTCACAGCCTCATATCACAGATTGGATGAGGTTTAACTATGGAAGCGATTTTCTTACAATGTGTGCAAATCCCAAGTAAAAGCGATTTGAAGTCTTTGTTGTGCGAAAATGACCGAAAACCGTTAAAACCGTATACTATTTGCTTACAACTGTCAAGATAGCTGCGAAACCACAAGATTTTAATTACTTTACATATTGGTGCTGGCATTATTAAACAGCTTTCAATATTTTCGCTTGGCATTCGATGATAAATTGGCTTGGAATTGTGTTGATGTGTTTGTTTATGAAGTGGTCGATTCAAATCGAGTTGCATGACTTATTTGCTACGGTTTAAATTGTGAGTCGACAATCATAGACATGGCCAGAACGTACAAACGGTAACTCGTTTGCTTACATATCCACCAAGCAAGCAAACCCCGTTTGCATAAATACACACATACACATACGCTGCCATTCTATCGATGGCATTTACAATTTAAGTCCTTCCAACTGTAAATTTTTCGTGCTTGATTGAGTGCATGCGATTATCTTCTTTCTCGTTCAATCGATCGATAGTATGGACTGTATGTGTTTGAGAGTGAGTGAGTGAGGGAGGGAATGTGTGTTTCGTTCGATGAATTGTGTCGGGTACACGGATTACATATTCATGTTTTATCCATATCATCTGGGGCCTGCAATAGGCAGCCAACCCATAATTAAATATGCAAAACATACAAAGAGAGAGAGAGAAAGACAGACAGAGAGAGAGAGGGAATAGAAAGAGTGAAGGAGAGCGCGACCATTGTGAAAGAATACGAAATTATTATGCTCTCGACGACATTTTGTTCAACATGCGATTGATCAAAATGGTTATTTAATTATAGTTTATGCAGGATTTTGCATTTTAGAGAGCTTCTCTCCATCTCAATTTTTCCACATTTAAAATGTTATTGTTCTGGCTTAAGCTTCTTCAATTTATATTCCACTTCATACCGTGGGTTTCATTTCGAAATCTCTGTCCGCATGAAGTGCACCATTGTTCCAATCAATGAATTCACGTGAACAATGCAGGATAGAGAGAGAGAGAGAGAGAGAGAGAGAACAGCGACAGTTGGATCGTAATAAGTATCGACTGAATCATCTTGGCCGGATTATCTATTATTTTGAATCAATGGCAATCAATTTAGGCATATAGAGAAATCCGTTGCATTTGACTGACGCTTGAAGTAAAATACAATAGAAAACCAATCATCTCTGATTCTGCATAGTATATGTTTTCAACTCATCGTATTGGCAGAGTTTATTATCGACTCTATTGATGAATGCAAATGTTGCTTATATGCAACGACTGATAATATACGAAATGTTGAGAGAAAAAAAACACACACACATAACACAAATCCATCTAGTATTTTTTTATTATTGTGTTTCTGTTTCTGCGCTTAAGTGGGATAACGTGTTGTTTATGTAAATCTGAAAGCTTTTTTACATTTTTACTATATTGATTGGCTCGTTTGGATTTCCTGTCTCTCTCTCTTCCATTTTTCGCTTGCCAATCGTGTGTGAGCTTCTTGCTCAATGTGTGTGTGTTCGTTCGATGCATTTTGCCATTGTTGTTCCATTTCCTCTTTCATCTGCACATGATTTATATTTATATATATTTTCACCGAAACTTTTGAAATGATACACACGGATCACTCTCTATTCAAAGTCGTTTCTAGTAGTAAGTTGGTTCAGTTGGGTTTTGCGGCTCGGAACTGAGAAAATCACTTGGATTTTGTAAATCGCTTCGATAGCTTAAGCAACATTTCAAATGGATTAGTTTGGCTGAATGTGAAATATTCATGGAAAGATGGATTAGTAATTAAATTTGTGCGTGATATTTCAGCAACTATTTTGCAAAATAATAAATACCAAGTGCCTCCCTCCTTTTCCGTCATCCAAGGATTCCGAATAAAATTTCATTTTTGGTGCAACAACTGGGTCGACACACACAAGTACAACAATTCAACTTCTGGCGGAATCAATTTGTCCGAAACGTGATAAACTACGCCGAGAGTAAGTAAACATCAGGGTGGATGATTCCAATTTGCAATTTTGAAAACTTCACGAACTGAAATCTATACAGCGGACTATTTATTTTCGTAGTTTATGGCGAATGGCCGTGCCATCATAGTTTTTGTACAACTTAGTTCAAAGAAACTAATTTGAATAGCTAATTCGTAAGCAATACGGAAGGATTACGAAAATAACAAATTTGCAAATCAATTCAGTCGAAAAGGTTAGCGATTTCGTTTGTTGTTTTTTTTCTACTGGTGTT